TGATTTTTTTCCCACCAAAAATTAAATGACGATAATAATCGTTAACGATACATAAACGATACCAAGATGATCTTGTCTCGAATCGAAAGTAGACAATTAGGTTTTCTCGAATCTACAATAGTAGCCAGACTTCCAAAATCTATTACGATGATAACAATTCTCTTAATTGAGATAAATCTCTTTCTTTGATTGCCTTTGTCAATATTGTTCCGAATTAGCTTCAGTGAAACAGCCGTTGAACAAGTTTGAACTACAAAACTTAAATTAAATAGATAGCCAAAATTGACTAAAAACTAAACATAGATCTTATATAAAAGAAAAAAAACTCAACTAAAAACTCCACCCATAATAAATAAAGTCAATCAAAAGAATCACAATAACTGATAAAAACCAGACGACTAATAATATCGCATCGTCTTCAAACCAAAAACTAGTGGTCTATGTTTGCATTTAGTTTACTAGTACAGAGGTTAGCTTAACTTTCTACTTGCTTTATTTGTATATCTTGAAACTATATATAATGTTTATTTTTTTAGATAGTCGAATAATATATGTACTTAATAGTTGACTATTTGAAAACTATGTATTCTTTGGACCTAGTTTCTCTCCCTCCCAAGACGCAGCCGCCGCTTCAGAGAAGATGATTTCCAGTCCCCGGCGTTTGGGATCCGACCCCCTCTCTTCCTAATCGTCGTCCTCCTTCATCTTCTCGAGCCAGCAAGCGATACCGACGATCCCACTTCCATCGTCTCTCTTACTGCCGGCGAGATCTCTTCGGCAAACTCCTCATGGACTCTGGAGCTCTCCGTTATGTGGCTGATTCGAAACTTGTTCTCTCAATAGCACCTCAAGATCCGATGATCCTGACTCCGGCGATGAGATCTGTAGTGTTGTTAACTATTCCTCAGGCGCCGAAACCACCGGTCCCTCCAGATTCACCAGATCTATCGACTGCATCACCATCTCAGCTTTCTTCCCTGCCCCATCACGAAGATTGCTCGTCTCCCTTGCTGGTGAAGGGAATCCGGTCGTTTTGGTCGCCGGTGAAGAAAATCCGGCGATCTTTGTCTCTGCATCTGGTCCACTCAGATTTTGAATCTATGGGATTTGCCCAGTTTGTGTGTCAAAGTTCCAAAATCGTTACAACAAGAGAGCCAAGTCCGAGTATAAATCCGCCGTGCATCTCGTTTCTGGCGGTGGCTCGAAAGCTCTCCGTCTGTCTTACCGGAAAGTCTCCTCCCCTACTCCAATCTGTAAGCTCCTCTCCTTTAGGTGACTTGTTGGGCCTGGTTGTTGAGGATACTATCGAGGGCTTAGCCCATGGTGTCTCCTTAGGGGATTTTAAATCCATAACCATGCTAAGTTGTGTAAGGTCTTTAGTTCCTGATGAGGACATCGAACCACCAAGTCAAATAAAGGAGAGGAGCTTACGAATTGGAGTTCCTGGTGGATATTGATTCACGATTCAAGTCTAAGGCACCCCACCACATTCCAGGTAAATCTTTTA